TTTTTTTTTTTTTTTTAAGTGTAAACATAGGGCTGCTTCTAGTGAACACAAGATGGAATGGAATTTGCTGCTAATAAAAAAGTAATTATTGATTCTCTAATAGCTGATATTTATTGAGCACTTACTACATGCCAGATCCTATGCAAACTCTTTACCTATATTATTTACAACTCATATCAACCCCTATAAGGACCAGTGTTTAAATTATAGGATGCTTAAGAATGATTCTGCTGAGTGGTCAACAATTAAGTGGAGTGATAAGTTCTGCTGGTATTCTGCATCCCTCAGTGGACTCTGCCGTCCCATGAATGCTGCTTCCTGCCCACTTATGATGCTTACTTATTACTGTGCCTTACTAACTGTGCTAGTAGCTAAGATGACTGTGAAAGAGGTCTTGATAGGAGGTAGAAGCTAAGACATAGGGAGTATGCCTTATAATTTCTCCACAGTATCCAGAACATAGTAAGTACTTGATTTAAATACTTACTTGCTGATTTAATGGAGCATTCAGAAGTTGGGTTATTAACTTGTGGTGCCATGAATAGGATAAAGGTGAGAAGTGTCAATTGTAGGGATGTGTGGATTGTGGTGCCTGGCGGAAGGCTGGACTTCAGCTGGGCTTTGCATTTTAGGGACTTTTCTGATAGGCTGAATATTTTGCCTACATGTGTTTGGGAGACAATATTGTTGCCCAGTGTTTTTTTGAACTTCACCATATACATAGGCACATTGAAGATTCAAGAAATCTCATTGGAAAACGGACCATTGAATTTTGTTTAACCCAGCATTTTCCAGATTGTCCGGACGGCCGACCCCCCTTTCATGCCACAAACCTTATGAGCAGCACTCTGAACCCACTTTGGCAGATGCTGATCAGGTGTGACCCCCTCATTTTCCCGCTGAGTCCCAGAGAGATGATAAGACTTATCCAACCAAGGTCACTGAGCTCACTGACAGCAGATCCATGCCAGAGTTCCGGGGGTTTCTGACTTTCAGGTGGTGCCTTCTGTCACACCACCAAGCCTTTCATAAGGGCAGCCCCATTGGCAGTTTCCTGGGCTGGGGCCTTCACCATGCTGTGTTGACAAGAGTCTTTCTGGAGACCACACTGTTGGTAAATTGCATGTGAAAGCAATAAGAGTTAATTTCTTCCTTGTGAAGAATGCAGCAGGAACTCCCCTCTCCTCCTGAGCCCTTATAAAGATGTATGTACTCATTAGGAAACTAAAGAAAGCCCCAGTAGACAGAGCCTGAGGTGCAGTTAAACCTCATATTCCTCACTGATGCCCTGGTAGTTATTGTAGATAGAGCAAACTTTCAATTATCTGCATGTGCAGAGGGCAGCAGCCCTGTAGATAAACCAAACCAATTGGCAATAATTGAGACCACACACCATGCACATAACCCACACACACATGCACACATACGCACACACCTCTTGAAAAATTTCCTGGTATTTGATTTTGTCATGTATTTTGTCTGGGCAGTTTCTTTGCCTAGATAGCTCTTTCTTCTTGCCAATTCCCAGCCCTCTCCCTTGCTCATAAATTCCTTCCTCAAGGAAGCCTTCCCTGATTGCATCAGCCAACTGCACTCATTCTTTGGATCTGCATCCTCTCAACCCCACAGGCTTGGCAGTATCAACTCTCACTTGCATCTCTGAGGGTGCTGCGGGGGGTTTCACATGAGGATACTTGGCTGTCCCACTGCATTGTGATGACCTCTGCCACTGGGGTGGGCTCAGGCAGGTTACAAAGTGTTTGCAAATAACGGCTACACACAAATGAACTTCTTAGGACCAGGAGAGAGGTGGGTGTTAATAATTGGAGTTGAGAGGCGGTAATTTCCTGGTCAATAGAGGCTGCCCAAAGACTACAGGCTGTCACCAGGGTTTCTGCTGTTGCCAGAGACACACATGTTTTATTACTGAATTATTAAAAGAGGAACAAACCAACTGGATGGTGCTGTGGGTGTTACTGGGAAGAGGGGGCAAGATCTGCAGGGCACCTGGGATCACACAGTCCTTGTCCCGGTCATGAAGGCCCAATCTCCTCTCCTGTCTTCCCTTCCACCAGCCCATAGTGCCTCACTTCCGTTTCTAACTTCCAGGAAAGAAAAAATCCAAATTTAAAGCCTTCAAAAGCTTTTTTGGCAAGAGAAAGAAGAAAGAACCCGAAGACACCCAGGAAGACAGGAGGCTAAAAGCAAGCTTCTCCAGCGGCAATATTAATATCTCTTCTCTGAAGCCAGTTCTGGCAGATGAACTACCTGAGATCAGGTAAGCTCAAGTAGGGTGGAGGGGGATAGGGACGGGGCAAAGGACAGGCAGCTAGATGTAGGTGCCCTTTTGGCAGCCTAATCACTGATGAGCCTTTGGTCCCAAGGATGTTAGGCCTCCCTGCCTGTGGGAGCTGGGCCTGAAGAAGGGCGCCCTTTCTATCTGCTCATATGCAGGCTGGTTTTCTCGGCCACAGGACTCAGTAGGTTGGAGCATGGCCAATGCACGTCCTGTTCTCTAGGAGCACTGGGTGAGAGGGTGCAGAGAGATCAAGGAAACCCTTCCTTTTCACAGGTAAATAACTTGAGATGTGGGGCTACCATTAGCAAGGGGCCTCTGGTTCATAGCGTAAGGGTGAGTTACACCCTTTAGGAGGCTTGGTCCACTTTGCTTGCTAGGTCCCCAGACTGCACAGCTGTGATTACAGGGCAAGGGGAGCCAGCTCTCAGATGTGTGATGAGAGTCTCAAGTAGTGAAGCCATCTCCATGAGTTGATGCATTAGCATGAAATCACTGTGTTATAAATTCAAACAAACAAGCAAGCAAACCAGTAAACAACCCAGCTCCCTTTCTCCCTTTACTCCAGGAGACTGGGGAAAGTGCTGTAACTGATCGGAGACGTCTGGGGAAGATTGTTTCTCAGCTACCACTCCCACCTCCCATTTCCACATCCTCTTGATCCTTATTGTGCCCTTTCCTCTGGACTCCTAGTACCCTCATCTGTTCCCAGACCAATCAGATCCCTCTATGAAATTCCACTTGGACCTCTTCTCCTGGCCCTAAATTCCAGACTTTAGATTCCCATGGAACTCATCTATGCTTCTCCCCATCCCTTCAAGGCTTTGCTTGGTGGTAATGGGACACTTAGCTTAATATGTTACAATGCCCCCTCCCCAATACTTTCTATAACATAGTGATCTAATGGCTATCATATATGTCTCCCTAAAAAGGACCTTAATGAGTGTATCAAATGCTGGGAATTTCAATAGCCTTGCTAGTGGAGATGGTATTGGACTGAGGAGTTGTTTCATATCTGACAAATCATACTATTACAGACCAGTGCCTTTTATAGCTCTAGGTAAGACTAGGACACACAAAAACCCAAAACCCACTGCCATCAAGTACCTTCTGACTCATAGCCTATAGGACAGAGTAGAACTGCCCCATAGGCTTTCCAAGGCTGTAAATCTTTACAAAAGCAGATGCCCTCATCTTTCTCCCGCAGAGAGGCTGGTGGGTTCGAACCTCTGGCTTTCTGGTTAGCAGCTGAATGCTTTAACCACTGTGCACCAGAGTTCCTTGGACTAAGACTTGTTGTTGTTGTTGTTAAGTGCCGTTGAGTCGGACCTGACTCTTAGCGACCCCTCCTTGGGTTTCCGAGGCAGTATCACTACAGAAGTAGATTGCCCAACCTTCCTTCCGAGGAGTGGCTGGTGTGTTTGAACGCCAGCCTTCTGGTTAGCAGTCAAGTGCCTTATGCACTATGCATTTAAGGTTCCTCCATATCTTTTGAAGGAGCTCTGGTGACGCACAGCATTTGGCTACTAACCAAAAGGTTGGCAGTTCAAACCCACCAGCCACTTCATGGGAGAAAGATGAGGCACTCTGCTTCCTTAAAGATGTACAGCCTTGGAAACCCTACGAGGCAGTTCTACTCTGTCCTAAAAGGGGTCATTATAAATCAGAATTGACTCAGTGACAGTGAGTTTGACTTGGTTTTCTATGTCTTTTTGAGGCTTGATAGCTTTTTTCATCACTGAATAATACCTCATCATATGAATGTACCATGTTTTGTTTGTTCATTTACCTACAGAAGAACATCTTAATTGCTTCCAATCATTGACAATTGTAGATAAATCTGCTGGTAAATTCAGTTTTAAAACTTCAAGAGTTTATTAGAAGTGTTTTTATTCTGTTAAGTATGAATAAATTATGCCTATTCAAAAGCACAAAATGGAGCTACCAGCTGCTGACTGTCTCCTCTCTTTGTCTTTGCTGGTTTATGAAAAGCATGATTGCAACTCCCAATCATCTAGCTTTCTCATCCTCTCTTCCATTCTGAGGTATTGGAGCAAGGGGGGCAACACTCACTATGTTTCTAAACACCCAGAGCATGAGGAGATCTCAACTGCTATTCCCTTTTCAGAAGCCCAGAAAGACATCCACCTGTCAGGAATTAATAAATCTTGTTCTTTCTGTTTGAAAAATGGAAATCCCTTAAAACACTAACATATAAAATGTTCCATCCTGTTTGTGAGAGGATTCTAGACAATTTGTCCCCATTGGACAGCAAGTATTCAGTGGGGTGCTGGAGCAGGCTCACCTGACGTGTTTACATCTCTTCCCAAATGGTAGCTTGAAATCGGCCATAGCAGGAATATTTATACCACAGAAATAGGAAAATACTGAAAATCAGGACATTTTCCCCAGAGATCCCATGTTAAACATTTTTTCAGAACAAAATTAATTATAGTAATCTGGATTTTTACAGAAAAAACTTACTATCCCATAAGTTTTAGAAATCATTTGGTGGGGGTTGATTAAGAGAGAAGGCCAAAGAATACAAAACAGTATTTTAGAACCAACCTACTGTGTGTTGTATACTCTTTAGCACTTGCTCATTGAATCCTCACAGTAGTTCTGTGAGGTCAAGCATCATCTTAAATATTTAAATTTATTGTCATAGAAATAAGTTTATTTTTTTTCAGACAAAAGTGAAAGATGAGAACTTGGGGAAAAACATGTTCCCTGTAGTGTTTTCATTCTTTCTAGCATAAGGTGGAATTGCCACATCTGGTACACCTGTGATCCTACATATGTTGTTGTTGTTAGGTGCCATTGAGTCAGCTGCAACTCATAGTGACCCTATGTAGAACAGAACGAAACACTGCCCAGCCCGGTGCCAGCCTCACAATCCTTGCTTTACCTGAGCTCATCGTTGCAGCCTACATATAAGCATATCCTAATAGATAAGAAATGCCTCAAGTCATCTGGAAACTGAAATTACTTAAGCAATTTTTATCAAGCAAATGGTTCTACAGCTCTCTTTTATTGTGCCACCCCGTGCTGGCTTCTGCTTCTAATCATGTATATTTTAGAGTTCACTATTCCCTGTAGAGGGAACTCTGGTGGCATAGTGCCTAAGGCGTCTGACTGCTAACCAGAAGGCTGGTGGTTGAAACCCATCAGCCACTCCTCGGAAGGAAGGTTGGGCAATCTACTTCCATAGTGATACTTACTGCCTCAGAAACCCAAGGAGGGGATGCTATGAGTTGGATCCGACTCCACGGCAGTGCT